GGGGGGGGGGGGGGGGAATTTGGGGGGTTGAAGTCCACTCATCTTAAAGTGGCCAAGTTTGGACAACACTGCCTTAGGTCCTAGAGTTCACAGTAGAGGTGTGATTTTAAAAAATAGAATGGCTCCTAGTTCCTCAGTCTGCCATTTTGACATTTTTGATTGAATGATTGTGTGCTATCAAGTTGCTGTTAATTCCTAAGACCTTCTTTAAGATGACCTGTCCTCAACTGGCAATTCCTGACATTCTCCTTGAAAAAAAGTGGGTATATGCTCAAGTGCATATCATGGAAACAGATTAGATTTTGTCTTCCACTTTAACTTCACTTGGAACTTGTACATGAGCAATTTGTGATCTGTTCCACAGTCAGCCCCTGGCCACATCTTTCCTGTTAGAAATGACCTCTTCCACCTCCTTGCACCAATAATAGTCAATCTGATTTCTGTGTGCTCTTGTCTGGTGTTGTTCATGTATACAGGCAACATTTGGTTGTTTGAAGAATGGGTCAGCAATGAAGTTTTCCTGCTTCTTTTCTGTTTCTTAAGCCATAGAATCCAATTACATTTCCTCCTTCCCCCCCCCCCATCTTTGGTATTTTAGTATCCAATCACAACCAGTACATCTTGTTTACGTATTCTGTTGATTTCAGATTGAATCTGACCATATAACTCATCAAACTCTTCTTATGTGTCAGTGGTTGGAGCATAAACTTGGATGACCGTATTAAATGGTTGTGTGAAGTCTAATATATTATTCAACCACTGACTGCATTGAATCCAAGTACTGTACTGTATTTGCTATATACTTCCTGACTATGAAACAACACAGTTATTATGAAACAACACAGCTACTTCTTCCTTTTTCATGTTCTGAGTAGTAAGCAGTGTGATCTTCTGACAGAAAGTGTCCAATTCCAGTCCATTTCAATTTGCTGTTGCCTAAGATGTCAATGTGCAGTTGATTCATTTCATATTTTATTGTACTAACCTTTCCCATGTTTGTGCTTCTTATGTTCCATGTTCCCATCATAATTTTGTCTTGGCAGCTTCAGATTTTCTTTTCCTGTGTGGCAATACCAGTAACTAGATGTGCCAAAGGCCTTCCTCTAGCCATGTCATAAACACCATTAGTATTCCAAAACATCCTTAGCTCTTCCTCAGTAGCATGTTGAGTGCCATTCAACTTGAGGGCTTCATCATTCAACATTATATCATCAATCATTTTATATTTTCTATCCATGTGGCTTTCTTGGTAAAATGCAAGATTGGTTCATCATTGCCTTCCCCTGCACAGTTTGAAATGATGCCTTTCCTGTTGACACCAAAGTGATCATCCGCCTTTAGCATCATCCGCCTTTAGCATCATCCGCCTTTAACAAAGGCCCTCCTTGCTTTAGCTGGGCACCTGGGATGGTAACTTTAATTTTGAATGGAAAATGATAAGCCTTGCTCTGAGGCAGCCACATTTAATCCCCTCAGATGAGACTTGAACCTACATCTTCTGCTCCTTTTATGGGTTGATCTTCCCAAATTAGGTACAAAGGACTTCACAGGGGGTAAGCCAGCCATTATAGTTTCCTGCCTACTGCCAAGATCATTTCTATTCTTATGCAAGTGCATCTTTTCCTCTGAAAAGCCTTTCTTCTCCTTATTGATTCAGAAGGCCAGACTGCTATATGCAGTCACTGAAATGACTGAAGTGAGGTCCTAAATGTATTCACTAATTGCTAAGCAATTTTAAAACAACAACCACAATAGTTTGTTGAACAAGCCATGGTTGTCTGGTTTTGCCTGATTCACCTCAGGCTTCATATACAGCACTATACTGTAATTTTCTTAAGCAAGATTTATTGAATAAGCCATGAATGACTGGGATTACACATCATGTTAAACCATGGTTTACATACCACAATGCCCCATAAATAGAGTAAGCTAAATTCTATTGTATTATGATGAGCATTCTTGCCAAAGCCATAACTGGGGGATTTGTGCATTTTACTAAATTACCTCTATCCAGATCACATGATGCTTTAATGCATATCTTATCAACCTTTATTTATTGGATGTCAAAACATTAAAAATTTACAAAATAGCAGGATTTCATCAATCTCATCTAAGTTCTCATGCCATTTTTACTTATAGATATTGATTGTTTTCATTTTTAGTTTTTAATTCATTTTTAGAATGTGTATTATGTTCAAGCTAGGCTAATGTCTTTATAATTATCTATCATCCAGGATTCAGGACAAGCTGATCAACAATATTACATAGTATTAATAATCAACCAACTGAGTATCTGTTGTGTCATGAGAAATCATCGAAGGGAGAACCAAAGTAGGAATTGAATTTCAAGCCATAAATATTGAAATTTAATAGCTTTTAGATGCATATGAGTTATAAAAATTAAATCAGGTTAAAACTCAAAATCTTTCATATATATATAT